TTGTTAGGTAAAGCCTGTGTATTGAGCTATTTTACATACATAAAGAGCTAACAATCCTGCATTTTAGACAAGATATATCCTTGTTTTAAGTGGTGGAGCTTGATCTACATAACAAAAAACATAAAGTTTATTTAGAAAGTCACAATAATGATTTTATAGTGGCAAAAATACCACAAGATCACTGTGCAATCTCAAAATGTGTATACTGCATCCTACACATTAATAAAGTTGATCTAATGCTCTTACATACTGAAAATACACAACTGTTTTTTGTGTAATGGGAATTATAAAAGGAAATTTTCATTTCTGTTTGCATCATAATACCTGGGATCCCTGAAAGCAACTGTACAAACTCCTGAAGCATCACCACAACCTTACAACAATCCATGAAATTCCTTGAATAATACCTGAAACCTCTTAAAGGATCCCTGTAAACTACTTCAAAAAACTCTGAAATTACTTCAGTGACACCCAGAATCCATCCAAGGATTCAAAGACCCCTGCAGTGACCCTTCAATCTTCCCCAACTAACAGCTGAATCCATACAGGAATCCCTTAAACACCCCAAGGATATGGAAATCTCTTCATGGATGGAAACTACTCAAGGATCTCTGAAGCCCTGAAACACCTTCAAAAAGACCAGGACACCTTGAAAACCCCTGGAATTCCTTCAATAATAGCTGAAATCATTTCAAGGACCCCTCCAAAATGAGGAGATATCCCCAGACCCCTGAAATTCCATCAAGGATCGCAGAAAACCAAACTTGACTGAAAACATAAACCAATGAAACTGCATCAGAAATCCTTGCCAGCAATGCCTGGAATCCCTCTAGGGATCCCTAGACCCCTTCAAAACCCCCCAGGAACTCCTCCAAAGATACCTGAAACCTCTTCATGGAACCCAGACACTTCTAAAAGAACCCAAGACCCGTGTAAAGACCACTCAAACTCATTCAATAATGCCTGGAACCCCAAGGCTCATCAGACACTTTAAAAGACAAACTACTTCAGTTATCCCTGGAAAACCCTGAAGGACCTTTCGACCCCTGTAAAGACTCCTGAAATACTTCCAGTAATGTCTAACACATCTTTAAGGACCCCTGAAATCACCTCAAGGTGATCCAGACATTTGCAAAGACTCTGAAAGGTGTTCAATAATGCCTGGAATCCATTCAAGGATTCCTCAAGGATTTTCAGATCCTGCATAGAACCCTATAACTCCTTTAGGAACATGCATATTCCCATGAAGGAGAACTGGAACCTCCTCCTCAAGGATCATAATCACCTAAAAGTCATCTTGAACTTCTCCAAGATTCTTTGACATACTACGGAAAATCTTTAAAGGATGCCTGGAATTCCTTCAAGGGACCCTGAAATGTCCTAAAAGACCCCTGGAAATCCATTCAAGCACCTCTAGAGGCCCCCTTGCCCTGCACTGCCCCTCCATAATGAGGCAGCGGACATAGACAACACATTTCACCTGGAGGGTCCAGCTCTGCGCCGATCCTCCTGTCCGACCGTCCAGCCTCCTCCCGACATCAAAGCATTCCTGGTGTGGAAACAGCAGCCCGGGGTGGCCGGTCGTAACCTCCGTAATAAATTAAGACGAAGTGGCAAATAAAGCTGCACCTGCAGGCCTGATGTCTTCACTGTCAACACATGGAGGAACCGTTAAGAGGAACCGCCCTCATCTGGACAGAAAAAGACCAGAAAAATACAATTTTTAGAAAACAAAAGTAATGAATTTCAAACTCCACAGCTAAAATAATTTATGACAATATGAAAGGTATACAATACAAATGCAGCTGTGGTCTATAATGGATAAACTCTAGCAATGTCTTTTAGCTAACTATGAGCTAAGAAGGTAAAAGACACTGTCTGACTAAGGTATCAATGAAGATAAATAAAATCCGGAAACACTGAAAAAATCCAATAAACACATTACAAATCCTCAAGTTGGCATTATTTTCATTATAAAGAGAAAAAAACACATTGTTATTTAATATAAGAATGAGAAACTTGCTCTTTAATAATTTCTTAGTTGACCATTATTATATTGTATAGAAACCATAAAAAGAAGGAAAAAGCTATAGGTTTACAGTAAAAAAAAATCACTATTTTCATTGTGTTTTTGCTATAAAAAGAAATATAAAAGATCATAGTTAGATATTATTTAATGTTCGAGGCCTATTTGACATTTTAAATGGAGTAGATACATAGAATAGACTGTTCTTCATTTATATATGAAAAATGAAATCAAGATTTTCTTGTTAAATTTAGTTAACGTCAAGCCAAGCAGGATTCAACAAGGACAAAGGTGGTCACTATACCCTGCCCATATTTTGAATGGAATATACAATATGTCTGTGACAGAGATTCATATCGACTCATATCCTCCTTTTTAACTTTGCTTTGTTCATTTCTTTTACATCACAAGTAAACGGACAAAAGCTTGAAGTCCACGTGCTATTTTCAGCTGCGTGAAGATCCGTGACTGTATTGTCTTGTTGTCAGTTCCCATGGAAGTCAGTTGGCGCTGAGTAAATTCTGCGATAGTCAGGCTTTCACTCAATAAGCCACAAACAAAGAGCCAAACATAGAAAGTGGTCGACATTCCTCCTTTTTAAAATCCAGGCCACACCCATGGATCCCTCCCCTGTATAATCTCAACCATATTTAATCTGACCTTTATGTATCTGTTTTATATTATTGTGATCAAGAAGTGAGAAGAAGAAGGAGAACACTGAGAGAGAAAGACGTCATTCAATTTAGTAGCTGTCAAAGACTTAAAAGTTTAAAAAATTAAAAGTGTTTTCTTGTGTTTTTATGGAGGTTCAAATGTCCTCACATCAAAATATCCATTCTGGGGGCATTTTTATTAGTTTTATTATGAAATTTTAAGGTTAAAAAAATTATTAAATGTATTAAGAATTAAGAGAAGGGTCATTTAAGTTTGGTGTATTACTGAAGGTGTATTTAAGATTAATTAAGTTAATTAATTAATTAAGTTTAGGTTCATGGTTGGAGCATAAAGTTAAACTGTTTTTAGGATTTTGTTTTTTTTTGTGTTATTTTGATTTTTTATTTGGTTGGTCTAGGTTAAGTGCGCAGAATCAGGATCAGTGAAAGGTTAGGGCTGTAGGTATATTTTAGGTTTTGTTTGACTTGGCTGTTGTTTTGTGCAGGACTCTCCTGCATGCTGACATTGTGTTTTTTTTTAAGGTGTGATTGTTGTGAAAACACTGTAATCATCCTCAGTTACTTTCGCCGGGAGGACAGACTGTAACAACCTGCATGACACATTTATCACCTGTCTGCCTGGTCTGTCGCCAGGCAGTTTAAACTGTGATCTGTGTAAATACGCCTTCTGGCAGAAATACAACATTAGGCACATTGTAACCTGGACAATCACTCATATCAATGGGACTTACATTACGCCCCTCAGATAGTTCCTTTTTGGACATTTTGGTATCACTAATACCCATAAAAACATGCTATTTTTTTAAAGCATTAACACCATATGTTCTTATATTTTCAATTAATTCCTAAAATTTTAGGGTAAATTAAAAAATCTTATTTTAAAAAAAAACCTTCAAAAACTGATATGAAAAGGCTTCTAACTTGTTTATTCAAGTAGTTTAAATACCTATAGCATACATATATCGCCTATGTTAAATAGTGACATTTTATGGCAGGGCAAAATTTTGCTCTTAAGCCCCAGTGTTACTTTGCGCATATGTACCCAGAAACCAGTGATTAGTTGATCAGCAGATTAACTCATATACAGAAATTTAATTAATTAATCATTTCAGAAATTTTTCAATCAAAAATGCCAAATATTTAGGTACCAGATTCTCAAATGTGAATATTTTCTAGTTTTCTATTAAGAGAAACTCATCATCTTTGTATTTTTAACTCTTGGTCAAAAAAACAAGGAATTTTAGTATTTTAGCCTATAAACTAAACAATAAATGAATTATTAAAGAAAATCATTGTCAGGCGTATTGATAATGAAAATAACAGCTGGTTGCAGCCTTTCAGAGCTTCTATAACAGAACAAGACAACCTTGCCCGAGGTTTTCTGTGTGTTTCTTACTTAACACAGAAAAAATGGAAGCAAATGCTTCACACTATACGACCAGAATAAAACATTAACAGTCACTCTATATGTCCCTGTCAAGACAGACATCCATTGCACATAAAAACGACAAACTACAGCTAACACTAGCTATGGATAACTATTTGGATCACTGGCTGTGGTGATAGTGATGAGCACAACAAAACTACTGAGTAATTTTTACACGGTGGTGGAGGCAAATCTTCACCTGGGCCTGATGAATTTGGGATTTGGATTTGAACAGTCTCAGTTGTGCACTCATGTTTCTTTTTTGTCATATCTCACCCCTCCTGTTGTGGGCTTCGGTCTGGGAGCCCTCCTATCGTTACGCCTTTTTACCTGGCCATGTATCAGTCCAGTGTTATCTCATGTTTTGGTTATTTGGTGCCAGATACTACTCAGTTGTTAATTAATCAGTTGCATCCTTAAACACATCCAAGGTCACAAACATTAAGTGTGCCACCTTGTTGACATCAAACGTTAGTCTACAACAGCCTACTATCTGACCGCATACACCATCATGTCTTGGCCTACTTCTACGATGATAACAAATAAATAATTATACTTTAATTAACCATTTATATATTTGATAAAATAAGCAAACATACCGTAAACACTCTCAAGTGATGACAACAAAAGAAAGATAAGTAAAACACCGGGGAAAATATTTCCCTCACTAGTGGTTTTTTTTTAAAAGTAATCAAACTACCCGACCGTTACTAGGAGAACACCAGCCCCTCCCCCGCCCGATTAACAGCTCGAAACCCCATTGGTCGGTGCGTGTTGATGAGCAGCCAATCAGAGCACAGAGAGCGTAGACTGAAGCGGTTCATAGGAGTGGTGCGGCGAGTGTCCGCTTCAGAGGAAAGTTGGATCTGTCAGAGAGCGACACAGTCATTCACCCGCTCAATTAACTGCTAATTACACTAATTACAAGTCTCTACTGCAAGTTTGGACTGTGTGTTTGTCTGCGTGCGGTTCATCACGTGTACTGACGACGTGCTCACCGCTTCCCCACACACCGCTGTGCAACCCTGGACAAGACCGCTGGATCAACCTCTGGAGGTAAACTCACTCTGTTATTATGTTTTTGCTGGTTTACAGGAGAATCCGCGAAGTCTTACGGGGAAATTACATCTGATATGTAAGATATTTATATTTGTAAGCAACTGAAACCAAATCCCTGCATGAAATAACCCCTAAAATGCAACATACTTCAGGCTGCATGTCTAGTGACAGAGAGGAAGGATGACCAAAACAATTTGCTATTAATGGACTCATAGCCTCTAATAAATTATGGGACTGTCATAAAAAGAACAGTCCCTTTTTCTATTTTAGAAAATGCCTCCAATAATAGATTTTCATATTAGCTCACTGTGTTGTGAACTAGCCATAAACGTTTATTCCTAGTTTAATCATTTCCAGCCATCATAAAAAAATTCATCAGAGATAAAACGTTTAAGCTTTTCTTAAAAACCCTGTTTATATTTTTGTTTATGATACATTTTTGCACATTAACAAAAAAAAAGTATGTATAGCCTAAAGTTATTTTTTTGCATCTCTTGGCCTGTTTGTGGATTTTACCTTTGTGTAAGAAAATGTAATGAAGATTTTCCTAGGGACAAAAACTACAAAAAAATAGGCCCTAAACAATAATAACTATTTTTAGTTTTAGTTACCCGGAATTAATGGAAAAAAATATTTATTTCCTCTGGGTGGAATCAGCATTTTAACTAGGGTAAACATTTTTTCTTTAATTAAAAGATGTCAACAGACAGGAGGTAGACTTTAAATGAATCCTCACAGGTAAAGACATCAGGTGGCATGATGTTGCTGCCATATTTAGAATAATAGCCATGAGGTTATTAAGTCTAGGGAATTAATTGAGTGTAGCAGCCTGAACAGAACGTGATACTGAGTTGTCTCATATTATTCACAGGTCTAAATAATTCATATTTGTGTCCAGACGTTAACTGGGTGTAACGACAGCCGGCGGAGGACTCGGGCAGACATGTCAGACAACGCCGGTTGCGAGTTTGAAATCGACGTGGAGAGCCTGGAGACGGAGAGCGACGACCTGGCGGACTCCTCCAGCCGCCCGGGCTCGGCGCCGCTCGGCCCCGCCGCCTCGGAGGACGACGGAGACGACTGCAAGGGCGACGACAAGCCGGGTCCCAGCGGCCTGTGCTCGGGCGATCAGAGGAAGCTGAGCCGGACGCCGAAGTGCGCCCGCTGCCGCAACCACGGCGTGGTGTCCTGCCTGAAGGGACACAAGCGCTTCTGCCGCTGGAGGGACTGCCAGTGCGCCAACTGCCTGCTGGTGGTGGAGAGACAGCGGGTGATGGCGGCGCAGGTGGCCCTGAGGAGGCAGCAAGCCACGGAGGTAGGTCCGAGAGTGAGTGGGTGTGGGTGTATGTGCAGGCGAGGGCCTTCAAATGCTCCATGACGACTGAAAGCGTGCAGTGATGCGTTCAAGTGCAACAGATAAATTACAACAAATTAAAGCCCGCAGTAGTATCCTGCAATCAGCTCAGACAATACCCTCAAATGCTCTGCACAGATTGAAGTGCAAGGAGTGTTGTGATGCGTTCAAGTGCAACAGATAAACTGCAACAAATTCAAACCCTCAGTAGTGGTCTGCAATCAGCTCAGTCGATACCACGTTTCTATGCTAAAACACACAAGATTAACATTACAACAAATCATCTAATCCAGTCACGTGTTCTCGGGAAGCCTCCATGTTTACTCCCCTCTGATCTTTCAGCTGTCCGTGAAAGCAGCGTTTTCTGATGTATGGATTTACAGATGTTGATTTAGCTTCTCATACTTAAGAGCATTTTTCCCCCCACTGCTTTATTTACTTTGTTGAATCCAGTGGCTCACTCACTGCTCTCTGTACACACTGCATTGACTTCCTGAGACATCTCTTGGCGAAAACCCATGTCAAACATGTAAAACACACAGTAAATCCATTTGTGGAACACACTCATCTATTCATTTAATTATACCGTCATTATTATTAGTATCTTTGGATTACAAGCTCTGATTTTTCCAGTGTTCAGTTTCATATTTTGTTATTGTGTGACTAATTTCCTGTAGTTTCCTTGTTCCTCTGATTTTCGGTGCATTAAAGTCTGAGCCGGAGCCGTCACTATTAAGCCATTTCATTTGCGAATTAGCACGTCTTCATATTCCAGCAATGCATACTCGGGTTTAATTGTTCCCTTTATTTAAGTTTTTCTGTGAGACAAGCTGCACGAGTGTTAAACTGTAAAATGACATGCATTATGATTTAATGAATGTGACATAATTACATGGCTGACATGGGTTTCCTTCATTCTGCTACCGCGACCCAAAGCCCAAAGTTACGCAATAACCACCAGAAGTTTTGTTCCTACAACCAAAATTCAGCTTCCATCTTTAGGGTCAGGTTTAGTTTTAGGTTTGGGAACGTAGTCGATCAGATTGAGTTTAAGGTTCAGGGATCGGCAGTGAATGTACAGTGTGTATGTGTTCGTTTGATTCAGGAAAGGAATTATTGATGTTGTCCTGGCAAATAAAGAATAATCAATGCATTTATTAGGTCAAAATATAAAAGAAGAGGTTCCGATCACCATCTGTAATTATAAACAACTAAATATACTGCATGGGATCTTTCCAGGGTCTGTGCGTTTGTGTTTGAGAATTAGCTGCTGCAAAATAACGCAGCACATCAGCATCAGTGTTTTAAAGACGATACCAGATGGAAGTTTTTCTGTCTGTTGTGTTCAGAGTGTGCGATTGTTTGTTTAACCAACAGTCCAGTCAAAATATTGTTTTAAAGTAATACAGTCAATTCTTGTTGTATTACTGTTTTTTCTTTTGTATCTTTGAAATGCCAAAGCTCAATATATTTAACATCTGTTTAACATATTTAATTTTAAGTTAATTTATAGGTCTACATCTCATAAACATAGAGATCCAGCTTTAAGTAATTTAAAGATGTTTTTTATAACTGTGATAAAATCAGAAAACCACGGTTTGACCGATATTTTCAAGTGGATTATTATGGAAATGCCAGCATATGTTATCCAAACACAGATATAACCTGGACCTTAGCTGTGACAAATCAGATATTATTTAAGGCTCAGGGAAAACATCTTGAAGCACATCTTCAGTCATTTTTCTTTTGTTTTTTCTTCTTCTCAGGATAAGAAAGGCATATCTGGGAAACAAATTCCAGCAGAGAGGAGGACGATATATCAGCGACACATTCGACCGTCCACCATGCTCGCCAAAAGCATCCTCGAAGGTAACAAATCTGACAACGAGAGACATGTCTTATTTCTTTCCACGATAAGTTTCTGATCTGTTTCTTCTTCTCTTGGCTCTTCCTCTGTCTCGCTTTAACTAAATACCCCTTTTCTCTCATAGCTTGTCTCGGATTTCTCTTTTTTTTTTCCTTTAACAGTGATCGGGACTTGCTAACATCTGTAAGCAGTGGCTTGTTTAACTTTTTGGCATGTGATAAGTTTACAAATGAATCTCCAGCACTGTCATAACATATAAAGACGGGTATGATTAATATCTAGTTGAAACTGCTCGAACAAGAGTGAAAATTGTTGCAGTGTTGCATGTTTGTCAGTGTTGTGAACATTTCTGCGCGCATGCTTGACATCACCTATAATACAAAACACATTGAGTGTCATAAACCTCGCATTAAATGGGGGCTCTTTTGATGACAGGATATCGTCCGGTGCAGTCTGATCCGTTCCTGGCGGCCAACCCGTCTCTCCCCCCGCCGCTGAGCGATCGCATGAGAAAGAGGAGAGCCTTCGCCGACAAGGAGCTGGAAACCATCATGCTGGAGCGGGAGTACAAAGAACGAGAGCTGATGGAGAACAGCCAGGCGGCCACGGCCTCGCTCATCTTCCCTAACAGCATGGTCCACCACGCCGCTGAGTACAGCTCCTACAAGACGGCCTACTCGCCGGCAGCTCAGGTCGAGCCGCAGCCCAAAGATATGTGCAACTTCATCGGGCCGAACTGCATGGATCTGCCCATGCAGTACCCCAGCAGCCCCGCCAACGTCGAGCTCATCTCCTCCAACGTCAGCGTGGCCACTACCTACCGCCACTACCCGCTGCAGCCGTCGCGAGGCGGCTTCATGATGTGGCCCCGCGGCGCAGCCAACCTGGGTGACGCCCTGCTCTATCAGCAGTGCCTGTTCAACGCCACGGCCGTGCAGAACATGAAGCCGGGCGCCGTGTGGGAGCCCAAGGTGATGCCTGCCGAGAGCCAACCGCCTGAGCAGGAGGCTGTGGACGCTCTTGCAGGTAAACTGGAAGGATCCCGAGCCGCAGCGCTGCAGGACTTGCCGAACCCTCAACGGGCCGAACCAAAACCTCCCGCCGCCGCCCACGGAGGGCCGAGGGAGTGCTCTGCCTTCTCCCCCCCGAAGAGGAGCTTCGGACAATCCTTCCCCATCAATACTCATTCCCAAAACTCCAGCCAAGTCTTGAACAAGCTGAGCAAGGACAGCGCTAAGCTTTCTATGAAACTCAACTCCTTTCACTCCCTCATCCAGCACTCGCTGAATGAAAAAAGCAGCGGCGGGGCTGGGCCGGAGCTCAGGGCTCCGTACTGCAAAGAGCTCTTAGAGGAGGCCGCCCGCAAGTTCAGGGAGGGCTCGGCCAAGGACATTCAGGCTGTAAAAATAGCCGACAGGTACGCCAAAGACTTTCTGTCCAAGCCCGTCGGGACCAAGACGGCGTCCAGCGAGTCTTTGTCCTTCTCAGTGGAAGCCATATTGAAAAGACCCCCACCTGCCATGAGTCGAGCATTCCATTAATTTCCATTAAGTGTCTTTTCTTGCACTATAAATAACAGGTTTGTCTCAGAGGACACAGGGAGCATCTCACGTTGTGGTTTTGGGCTCAAACGAAAAACTTAAACACAGGCACTGCATCAGAAAACTGACCAGCTGGAGATTTTTTTTTTTTTTTTTTTCCAATTCAATATTTATGTACAGTATATTATATTTTACATGTGCATGTTTAATAACTTTATTGTGTAGAGTATTTAAACATTATCCCGATGTTTTCCTCATGTCAATAAACTTTATAAGACTGAACTCTTTCCATAAAAAGTCTTGTATTTCATTTTATACTCCAGTTATGACACGTTTAACTGTGAACAGGTTTTTGTTTAGGTCAGGAGTTAGTCTGCACCCACTAATAAAACACCACAGTTATCAAAAACAGTTCAAACCAAACAGGGGCTTCAAATCAGACTTTAACACACCCATACAAACATACAGAAAACAATACATCACTATTATATAGGCCTATTAATGTTTTTGATGGGTTTTGTAAAAATAACAATGCCACAAATGTTTGGGGAGTTTTTCTCTTTTACAGTTTTTAATGTTCGATTATTAAAAAAAGGCAAATTTAAGTTTTTATTCTAAGATGGACATTTAGAGCTTAAGTTAGGATTTCAGACTTTGTAATATAACTATAACATTTATTTTGAAATCTTGAAGTTTGACACATTTTGTGCATGGTCAAATTTGATAAAAAAATAAATGCAGTGTATTTTTGGGGAAGTGACAGTTAACAGCATAAATAACTCATGTGCACCAGTATGAAAGTCCACTAACTTAACAATCCTACTGTATATCATGACGTATTTAAGAAAGAAAATTATTATATATTTTAGTTCATTTTAGTTAATAATTTATTTATTAACCTGAGATTTTAATGATAAAATATAGTGTTTGTCTTTGTTTTTGTTTGAATGAATACAAATCACACAAAGTGAGTGTGGATGTGACGGAGTGTACGCTGACTAACAGTGAGTTTCCGGAGGTTGAAACACGATATCATCCCATTAATCTGTGAGCAGCATTGTCTCATCCGTTCAAGATGCATTTCTCCACTCATTCCTTTCCAGTTACGGCCTCTCAGTAAAGTGTGTGTGTGTGTGTGTGTGTGTGTGTGTGTGTGTGTCCATGCTGAAAGACGGCTCAAAACATGGGTTTCACATGAGCTGCAGAACACTGATCCGTGCAGTAATGAACAAGATGAGAGGTTAAAGAAAAAGAAGAAAAGAAAAGTCGGTAATCTCTTCTTCCTGCAACGTTCACATTTCATCTGTGTGAATCTGAAGCCAAACCACTTCAGTCTTTGACCACAGCTCTACTGTCCTGTCACTTCACGTTTTTCTTCTTCTTGACTGATTATCCTCTTGTTGCTGCTGTAATTGGATTTGGGCTGATGATGACATTTTGTGTCACCAGAGAGGTCTGACTTCACTTCAAGTGGCCACTGGTGTCAAATATTTTTTTTTTTTACAGTGTGTGGCCATGCATTGTTATATTTGTGAGGACCAATCACAGTTTTAAACTAGTGAGGACATTTTCTGTCTCCTCATGACTGCAAAGAGCTGTTGGAAGACCTCTTGGGTTCAGATAGTTAAGGTTAAGAGCTAGACCAGAGAATGCATTATGTCAGTGAGGGTCCTCACATGTATAGAAAGACGAGTGTGTGTGTGTGTGAAAGTGAGAAAGTGTGCACTCAGCTGCAGACAGTAAATACTGAGCCAATGCCAAATTCACTATCGACTTTTCCACTTTATTTATTGGAGCTTACTGGAGCTTATTTCTCAGATTTATTCTGAAATATAAAGTAGAGGAAATAAAAATCTGAAATCAGTGTTTTTAATCAATCCAATATTTTGTTTGTCTATTTGTGAACAGGACTACACAAAAAGTACAGAACTGATTTGCACCAAACTTGTTAGAGGGATGGGGCATGAGCCGGAGAGGAACTCATTAAACTTTGGTGCAGATCCAGGAATTTTTTTAATCACTTTATGAGATAGAGCTTTTTTTTATGTGTTTATAAATTTCTCAGGAAATAATGTTTGGATCTTCGTGTTAAAAATCAGACTTATTTATGGTGCTGACGTCTATGAGTTTGTGCAGCTGCAGATTCAGATAAAAATCCGGATCTGACAAATATGTGGAAAATATGCTATTTCACAGTCATGCCAAGAACCTACCACTATAATAATATGAAACAACAATCAGCGGTCACTTAGTTTAGCTTAGCATAAAGACTGGACCCAGGGGAAACAACTAGCTCCATCCAGCAGAAATACAATCTACCTGAACTGTATATCTCATTTGTTTATTCCATACAAAAACCTCAGTGTAAAAATGACAAGTTGTGGTTTTCATCATGATCTGAACGTCTAACGCTCAATTAAGTGTATTTCCTCAAACTGCTCCTTTAAAACGACATATTTTAATCACCCACTGTGATGCGCTGTGTTCTTTATAAAGCTTGTTTATGTTGCATGTGACAAGTTGACAAACTGTCTTGAAAAACAAACAACAAACAACAAAAACAATCTCCAGTTAAGCTCGACTTACTACAGATGACTAATGAACAAATTCTCTCTGCTGATGAAGACTATCAGATGAGGCTGAAAGCTCAGGGGGAAAAAAGCTAATAAGATTTAATTTATGACTCCTGTCCTGCCTGGTTTACATTCTTGTTTACATGTATTGTTTTTGGGGCATTTTGCTTTTGCTTGAATGCAAAAAATGGAGGAAATAGAGTAAGATAAGCGACAAAGGTCATGGATTGGATTCGAACCAGGAATGTTGCAGTTATATGGTTTTATAGGCCCTTTCATAAATGAAGCACACTGTCTGATTGACTTAAATATCATATTTAAATTCTATTATCATCCTCTTCAACCCCACAGCTGGGACAGGTTCCTGCTGTGTAGCCAAATATTGATTAACTTTATGTTAAATTCTAGTCAAGATCCCAAAATTTCCAATTTCTAAAATAAAACACCAGTCTGAATTTTGGGGGAAACGTGTGCAAAAGTTTGAATTTCACTCAGTGTAAACATCATGTAGCTTTTATAAAGAGTTGGAAAACACAACACGATGATGATTCTGTCTCACAGTGTTGAATTACATGATTTTTCCAACTTAAAAGGAAAAAAGATATGAGACACACTGTCCACACGTTATCATTGAAAAGATGGAAATAAGAGTAATTCCTTTTTTCCTTCAGCCTTAAACAGCTCCTAAGTATCAAATCTTGAGCTATAACAGGAGCACAATGAAGACATTGTTTTGTCTATGACTTAACAATGTGTGCATGTACATGAACACATCATATGGTGTGTGAGAATGTGTGTGTGTGTGTGTGTGTGTGTTGTGTTGTGTGTGTGTGTGTGTGTGTGTGTGTGTGTGTGCTTGTGTGTGTGTGTGTTCATGCCCTAACAGCAGTTGGCTGCTGAGCAGAAGGTGACAGTATTTGTCTGCACTAACCGCCACTGATAAATATCTGCTGAAGTCCTCACGGCCTCATTCCCAAAGTGTGAGATTTAACATGTCAGCAGAGTGAACTGGATTGTTGACTCACCCCCCCCTCCTCCTCCTGACTCCTCCTGACTCCCCCCCCCCACCATCCTCTTATCAGCAGTTGTAGTTCACACAGTAGCATTTTGTTTGGGGTACACAGGTGTCATTTGCTATTTAGAGACTTCAATGACTTTCCTTCATGCTGTGATGTTGGGAAAAGAAAAAAAACACACACCCACATACACACACATGCACACACACACATGCACGCACACACACACATGCACACATGCACATACACACACACACACACACACACAAAACTGTCTGGGAATTTAGTCTTTCACGGCTCTAGTTTCAAGACTCAGAAAAACAACAGTACAGAGGTCACAGTGTGTTTGTTGCTTATACAGACTAATGTGGTCGTGTTAAAGGTCATGACGCTGCACTTATTTAACATTTAAGGGCCATGCCAGTATTTCTCTTCATGTTTTATCCTATTTACAACAAATTCAAAATTCATAGCTTAATTGTCAAATGTACAGAGAACATCCATCCATCCAAAATGAGCGTTAAAAACTGAGTTTTATGCGCTCACTACAAGTATATATGGTTTATTTTTTGGCAGATGCTATTTACACCTGAGCCAATGTGGCTATTTACACCCAGGTGTATAAAGCATGGCAGAGACCCAGCACCCAGCTTTCTGTAGCCAACAATGCTAACTTTAAACACAGTATGTAACTTCTGCCGCTCTCAATCAAAACAATAGCAAAAGGGATCCGAGACTGCCACTACTCTTTATTGTTTCTCTGATAACTTATGAACCAGACTTTCAGGAGGTTTTTACCGGCAGCTGAATTATCCACAGAGGTCTCCTCTTCTCCACAACAAACAGACCAGGGGATTAAAACCGGTAGAAACAACGAATAAATCAGAGATTCACTAACACTCTTTGGCAGACGCAGGACGTCTCGGAGCTGAGCTGTCTAACACTTACTCAGCTTTTTGCTCTGATAACTTTAGATCCAGATGTCCGATGACTAAAATCCCTCATCCAGACCAACGTGTAAAAAGTGTATGTGGCTTTAAACTAGATGAAAGTAAATTTTGAGCTTCTGGCAGGCGACCACAAGGAACAACACATGTGCATAGGCGATATGACTGTTGCCATGATTTAAAATCACAGATTTCTCTGGTTGGAGAATTGTTGTAAACATTTGGGATAATGTAAGTACAAAACAATATATATATGTATATATACTTATATAACATAGGTCTAGTCATTTTTAGACATTTTAATGCAGAAAAGTTACAGATTACAACTTTAAACAAAAAGGAAGCTGATCGTCACAGTCTCTGGCTTTCAGATTCTCTACGATGTGACATAAAAAAAGAAAAAACGACCAGCGGAAACAAATCAGATTATTGGTGGACACAACAGAAAACAACTGTCCAGTCGGAGCGGAGCAAGCATGTGTTCTCAAGCCAACACACCCCCAGAACTACAGATTCATGAGAGGCAAGATGCTGCCAACTACTGTTAAGTGTTGTTTGTA